ATTAGACAAATTCAGCATTTCACTTAAATACTTCTATTTCATTAAGTCATAATATTTTTTCAACTAATAGTACTAAATAAAAAGCCAAATTAAATCACAGGTTCTTGCAGCTTATAAACAAAACTTGTAAGAATACTGTGGCAGAATTTAGAATATAAGCATAAATATCTAGGCCAATAAATAGATCAACTTTCATGGTAGACTACGCCAGAAAACTTGCATGCTTAAATCTAGAACAGTCTGGCTAGTGGGAGATGAAAGTCTGTTACATCATGATGTTGTTTAGCATCTGATGTGAAATGAGTTGATGGCAGTTTCCTTCCCTTCCTGGGCACCTACATCTAAAAAATTAAAATAATCTTTGAAGATACAGCAGAGACGAAGCACTGAACAACTTTCATTTCAAGTCGTAGCCATATTGCTGTGTGTCAGCTTGTATTGATTTTTAACTGGGTCTTTGGCATTCCAAACAGGATTTACCTTATTTGACTAGAGGAACTGCAGCAGTAATTCTTTCTCTGGGGGAAGGAATGGTTATTGTAGTTCAGTGTCTAATTACGTGGCAGAATGCTGGAGGTTGTTTGCTCTCATTCATATCCAGTATTCTGTATTTTTGATTCTTTCCAGCTATAGATGATGAAATAACATTGCATTTTTAATGTATAGAAGTACATTTCAAATTTCCAGGAAAACGAGGGATAACTGCAGAGCGACAAAACGTGAACACCATGTTTGGTTCCCAAATGATTTTGGTCAGAGATTCAGTTTTGCCCATGAAGGTTTTTCTAGGGATTTGATTGTGTTTCTACACAATACATAAATAGAAATGGTTTTGTTCAGTACTTTTCAAACTCAGTGCAAGAAAAATAATTACTTTTCTTTTGATTTACTTCAAATGCGTAGCTTAAAAATCTGCAATGGTTTTTGACCTGACGTATTTTCTTAGGCACTTGAATTAAAAAAAAACCTTAATGTATTCCTACACCTTTAATTTCTCATTTGAACAGGGAGAAATTCTTTCCCACTTAACCTTTGATTTTTAACTTTTAGTGCATTAGTAAGCCTCAAGCATATAACATTATGGAGAATACTATGTTGTTTTCCTCCTGGCAGCACCCCTTTGTACCCATGAAGCAGTATTTCTTCTCAAATGCAAGTGTCTTGAAAGTGAAGGTTATCTGGGAACACTGAAGTGTTCACAAAATGCTCAGTGCAATTCAAGACAGACAAGTCAGAGTCAAATGTTAAGAGATTTACTCTACAGAAAGATTAATAGTTTGTTACATCAACACAACATTTTTATTACTATTTCTCACTTCCTGCGTAGTAGAAGATTCCAGGATTAGGGACTGTGATGGGATTTCTTTTTAATCTATACAACTAGCTGACATTTCTAATAATTTACAGTAAACACTGTACATATCTCCAGCTTGAGTTGTCACAGGTGAAGATACTAATGTGAGTAATTAGATACATGAAGTGAAAATTCAGTTTACAGGGAGGGACTCTTCACATCTATTTGTGGTCAGATGTGATGTCTGGGGATGACTTGTTCAAGGGCAGTTCTCAACACAACTATCTTTTGTGACAGTTCTTATAATTTGGAGTCCTCCCTTAAGCCTCTCTCTTAGTTTCATTCAATGAAGCCTCCTCAAATAATGAATTTATACCCTGGTTGGACTTGGTTGTTGCTGAGACTTAACTGTGACCTCTTTGCGGGCAGGTCAGTGCCTGAGACGTGAACGTGTCGTGCTGTTTGTGGTGCTGCTGCTCTGAAGCTTAACTGAGTTGCCATCAGTAAAGGCATTTGGTTTTGAGCCAGTCTGACTAATCTGTAGGAAACGTAAGTCAAGGAAGTGAAGCAAGGACCGTGAAGCCCTTGAAGGGAGAAGTGCAGCCCATCTGACTTGCTCCATCTCCGACTGGCTGGGTACAGGGAAGCAACAAAAAAAGCCACATATTGCTCCATGCTTGGGCTCTGCCATTTTGTTTTACTCTTGGATTGGATGCTGATGCTCCAGGAAATTCCAGGATCTCCCAGTCATGAGGACCATTGCACCATTCACATCTTTTCACGTTCCTGGCAGAGAGACTTTAACAGTGAAGAAATCCTGTGTGCCAGTATATCTTAAAGCAACATCTCTTGTGTTGTGCCATCACAGGCAAAAGTCTCAGGATGGGACAGAAGGCAAGCCAGATAACGAGTCTAATCAGTTTGGTGAACTCCATCTCTTCCTTAAGCCTGTGACTTGAGGGTGTAGCCCATCCTGTCGTGATAATTGGTGCTGAGAATCAGTAGGATGGGCTCAGGGCTTCTGGTGGTTTCAGGCTTCCTCTACTCCTCACTGTGTGCAGCTGCTGCAGCTGCACCTCCTGAGAGCAGCTGGATCTTCCACCCCCACTCAAACCCGAGGGGTGAACTTGGAGTATGATGGGGGTATGGGGGAGAAGCATGAGAACTGCTGCTCCCATTACACACTAGGTTTTCATGCACATAACTGTCTTATTTTTTTTCCCTTTGACTACTGTAGCAAATGCTCTAGTTTTGTTAGTAAAACAAAAACAACCTTTATATTGCTTCTTATATTTGGAAAGTGATGTATTACGGGTTTCTGAAGTGAAGGTTTAGTAAAGAGTACAGACATTAGCTTCCTTTCAGGCTGCTCTGGGCCTTTCTTGTTTGCTTTGTATGGCAAGGGTCTAGAGAGATTTCTTTTATTTCCTTCCCCACCATTGTTTTTGGTACAAAGTTGGGTTTTTTTCTTAATATTCAGACATTTTATCGCCTCACTTCTTTTAAAACTCTGAGATTCTTTTTTTTTTTTTTTTTTTTCCGTCACACAAAAGAATACTTTTAGCTGATTGAGTTCTATCCATTGCCAACTGTGGACTCTTTTGTCTTGCCAGTCCAGCATCCTTTATAAAATGAGGACCATTGAGCAAGTACTCGCAGGCTCCCCACTGAGCACAATTGTGCTTGAAAGGTGTGGTACTGTACCAGTGTAACATGGAAAGCTGCAGTTCAGAGGCCCTGAATGCATTGCAATTTCTACCTTTTGCTTTGTGAAAGGAGCGGGATTGTGCTGCGAGATAATAAATCCACCTATTTTTAGTTTGGTGAGGTTGTGACAAGTGGGTGAACAAAGAACCAGTTGAATGCACTTGCTGTTGTGTTGAAACCGGCTAAAAGTTCCCATTCAAGTGGTTTCAGCACAGTACAGCTAACAGGCAATTTTCCATTTATGTACACAAACCTTCTAGAAAGACAGCTGTGTGGTTGGATTAATTTCTAGCAGTAAATTGAATAAAAGATATTTTGAAGGGGGACTCGGGAATTCCTTTCTGAAACATTGAAAGCAGAATTTTCAAAGCTTTTCTTTATTTGGCCCCTTTCCTTCCCAGTGCCTACTATAAGATTTAAAGAACTGAAAATATTGTCCCCTGTATGGAGATACACAATAGGATGTGTTCTTTTTAAAAGCAATGAGATAGACTTAAAGTAAAAAATGTCACAGTATATTTTAATTCTAAAAATATACTGTTTTGCTTTATGAGAGAAATTCATACCTCTTAGTCATAGAAAGAAACTCAAATGTTCTTAAATGTTTGTATTTGAATAAGCGATAAATGAGATATATAGAAGTGTTTTGAAAACAGGAACGTATATTATACCAGAACTTCACCATAGTGAGGTTTTCTCTTTTATGCAGTTGCATACAAGCAAGGCTGACTAAGTCAAATTTCTTCTGAATTTGTTAAGATTTGTTTAAAAAGTACCCAGAGATACTGGTAAGATGCTTAAGTGGGTGCTGATGTGTTATGGTGAAGCGGGAACATTACTCAGTGCTCTGGAAGAGCATCTGGAATACAACATACAAGGAATGTTGCAATGTTCCCTGTTTCAAATAAACAAATATAAAATACTTAAGAAATGACAAATTGGGGGAGGAAGCTGGAAATGGGTGTGAAAGTTGGTCTTTTCCCCTGCGGATCTACTTGTAATAAAATGACTGCCGTGTGTGAGACTGGAGTCACTTAACCAGTAAGATACTGAAAATTAGTATAATGTCATTCTCCTGTCTCACACCACCTCTGAAACACCCCTGGCTCTTTCACCTTCCTCTCACTGTGTGCTTGTATGAGGCAGAATTTAGAAGTTTCCCACTTGTTAAAATCTAAGTTCTGCTGTCTGTATATTTCTGTTGGTTCTTAAATGCTGCTTCTGGATTCTAGTCAAAGTTCCCTTACAGTCACATAAGGAACTTAGGCATTTTATTCTTTTATCTGTGGGGCAGAGGTAGCAGATTTACTAGGGGTTTCCTTTCTTCTTTCCTTTGTCTAAATAAAGGCGAGTGCCCCTCTGGTTTTTAATATACTTTGAATTTAAAAAGAATTGCTCCAGTTCCTGAGCTCTTGTTCAGACAGTACCCAACTGAAAAGACAAGCTAAGCTGACTCTGGAGCAAGATGTTCCCAGTAAAAGCTTGGGTTCCTTCTGTTTAGAGTTTACCCAAATGTGCCAGTTACTTTGCCGACTCTGGCTGAGGTGACGCCTAAGGGCTCATTGTCTGCATGAGAAATTAACTGTTGACCAGGCTGCAGTGCAGCTGTCTGACCCAAATGCTGATGTTACCAAATGCTCTGCTCTGGATTTGCCAGAAACCTAATACAGCGAGCTGGCTGGGTGTGTGCACTTCCTCATGGTAGTTGACCAAAGTTAGGTTTTTGGATATTTCTGCATAAAAAAAGGGACTGTTTTTCTCACAAATGGGAAACTACATGGGCAAAATATCTGTGCAAAACCAGACTGTAGTAAGTTAACACTATTCTTCCTTTTTCTTCATGCCTCTCGTTTCCAGGATTACTTTGAACACATGACACTCTTGAGTACATACTCTCAAACCATTCAGGAATTTAAGGAATTTATTCTGCTCCTCCTGTACAGTCGTGGTCAATATATTCATTGCTTCTCTTTTTTCTTTTTTTTTTTTTTTATTGCAGACTTTAAAAAATTCCAAAAGTCTTTGCTCCCTTGACTATGAAGATGATGATGATGACACACAAATGAAGACAATTGTGTCATCGCCATGTGACTCAAATGATCTTATGAACATCATCACCCCTGGCTCCAGCCCGATGAAAGAACAGCAGCTGGATGAAGTCAGGCATCACGGGTCATGCCAAGGTGGCTTCAAAACAAGGGATTATAAGAAAGCAGCCGCAGTGTGTGAAAGCGACGAGGACACGAGTGATTGTGAGAGCACCGAAGAAGGAATCTTTCCTCTAGACTGTGGGGACCTGGACCTAGAGCAGATTGAAAACAACTGAGAACTCCCAAGTTGTGTGCTAGAATCAGAATTGTTCTAAATTAAAGTGATAGAGGATTACCTTTGCCATGCATAATCCATGTCCCTGAATCTCTGTATTGCCTATCTTGGGCTGTGTTAGAAGAAATGTTTCAGGTGTGGGGGAAAAACGTGAACCATTGTTACCTGTTTAGTCTATTGGTCAATGCGTGGATGACAACAAAGTAAAAAAGTAGGAGGTTAAATGTTATTTTGAACATTAAGGAATAATTTTGATTAAAAATTTCCTAACAGATATTTTGCATTTTTATGGCTTTTACAGTTCTGGAGAAAAAGCATCTCTATTTTGAAACGAATTTTCAGAAGGGCATTCTATAAAACTAAATCTGTCTACAGTGATTCTGGTGCGGGTCTATGTTGCTTTTGTTAAAGAGCTTAATGTGAAAAGTGAATTGCATAATGAAATTGGTAATAAACCTTCAAATAGAACTCTTAAATATCTGGTTGACAACTGGTCCAAAATACTTAACTGCCATCTTTGACAGTGTCTGGTTAAAAAACAACTTCATAACATGTACAAGTGTTTTTTTCATACATTCAGGACTTTTTGATCAAAATATGGTAGTGACCTTAAAGGTTAACATTTTCCATTATTTTACTACTTGAATTGTTTTCTAGCCTGAAGCAATGCTAATTTAGGTGGGCTAAAACTTGCAAGTAGCTGCCCACCTACTTGGTCATTATGTTTTCTGTGGTTCAAAAGAATGTACAACAAGAGCACTTGAACTTAAAGACAGGGACTTTGTAATGATCAATTCCCCAGCAGGTGATCCCTTCAGCAATACTAGAAGGAAAATAGTCCTTGAATTAAATAAAATGACATTTTGCTTTGCACTTGTGTCTGCTTATGACTTTTACTAGTGGAAAATGTGTAGTCTGTGGCAGATTCTGTGATGTGGTTCTTATGTGTAGGATTGGGTGGAGTGGAAAGGCAGATTTCTGGTCGTCTGAAACAAAAGTGACATCAGGTTTGTCTGGAGAGATGGGGAACAACTCATACTGGAATCCCAAAAGTGTCTCAGTGATTACATACACTGGAATAATTTCAAATGTAATACTGCATTCATTGCAGACTATTGCAACACATACTTATTTTGTTAGTTCAGCTGCAACAAGGAGTTTCCTCAACAATGGAGAAATGGATCTCGAAATGGTTTTAAATTGGATAAAAAAGGGGAAGCTTAGATTATGGCATTTGAGTGCATTGTGTTAGTTTGCTTAAGTGAGCCAATTCCTACTGTAACTTGTGCCATAAAACCAAAATACAGCAACTTATTCTAGGTCAGCTAATGGAATGTGATTAAAATGAGAAAAAAAATCTTAAAACATGTACCAAAGGCTGTGGCAAGATATGGACAGGATCCAGCCCTGTGATTAGGGCTACCTTTAATTACTGAACCAGTGTTCATAATTCAAGATCTATACAAAATTTTAAAAGTCAGGGTAGTCAGTAAGATGCTCAAACTTTTTTTCTTACTCTTATAGCTCCTATTGCATATGCAACTGTGAGTGGCAGTGATGTGTGATACTGGTATATGTTGTGTAGTAAGATGCAAGAACACTGCAGAGACTTGTTGGGTTCTTGATGTGTTAATGTATATTGTGTGGGAGAAGCGAAGCTGCTCACTGTTGACAAAAATCATTCTCCTTTTTCTAGATGAGTTAATAAAGGAGTTGATTTTGGAGCAAAAATTCAGAAGCTCCTATTAACAGTGTCTCACCCCACAGGTACTTGCTCTGGGTTAGCACAGAGGACACAGATGGTGACGTGCACATCCATACAGCTATTTGGAATAACCTCATGTGACAGAGGATCACTATTCTTGGCACTTCCTCAAGAAGCAGCAAGTGAGGTACAGCCAATTCCCCTCTTGGGTACATGGGAAATGTGCAATAGTGTGATGGTCAGACACTGTGGGCAATGGAACAACCCAGCTCACTTCTGGACTGCAATTACTGATTGCAAAAGTACTTTCTCATTGTGTATTCTTCTTAATTGAGCAATAGAGGTAAGTAAAATTGAATCAGCTTTAATGCAGGATTGTAGCAGAGGCCAATAGTACAACTGGGATCACTTAAAAACTAATTTACCTATTTGAAAGGACTAGTTAAAAGTGTAATGGCATGGAATGAGAAAGCTAATGTGGCAATCCATTTAGCTCTTCCTCCCCCAAGGAAGGCAAGCTCCTGGAAGAAGTAAAAGAAGAAAACACCTCAGAGGACATGAGTAGAAGGAGGTTGAGATATGCAGTGTCAGTGAAAAAACAACAAGAGCTGAAGTTATAAATAAGAAGATAGTGATAAAGCAAAGGCAAGAGTAGAGAATCAGCTAATATTTGTTCTAGCTCTGAAATATGGTCTGGCTGTGGTCTCAATGAATTGACTTCTCTAGCCTCAAGGGTAGGGTTCTACACTTACCTTTAGTAGGTGTGCTGTTTTCAGTCAACACAAAGCCACATTCCTACCCAGATCCTTAGGGTAGGAAGGGGTTTCCCAAGGGAAGGTACAGATACATTTGCTTATGGTTACACAGGACTCAGTCTCCTGCTAAGCCAGCTGTTAAAACTCTAAATAGCCCTTTCATGGAAACACACAAAAGGAGTGGGTTTGGATGCTGAAGAACAAGTTTCATGACAGTAGGAAGTAGTAATTATCTAGTTTAGACTCGTATTAGTCAGTGACAAGAAAATAAGCAGTTGAGCAGCTGTGCAGTGACACTGGGAAATGAGGAAATCTGCTGGAAGGAATCTGTGCACTTTGTCTGCAGATGCCAGTGTAATCCCCCGCAATGACAAAAGGAATGGTTGGTTAAAATTTCCTTCAGATGGGGCTTTGCATCCCCAGCAAGATCTGAAGTCCTGCTCTAAAAGAAAACAACAGATGATGAGTTTGGTACCTTTGCATTTGCTTATAGGATAGTGTAGTGGCTGTTGGGCAAATACAGAAGGTGGTTTGCAAGAAGGGAAAGCGTGGTTTCAGAGATTGGATTGTGTTTGGAAGCGGGCTGAGCGAGGCTGAAAGCAGCTCTTGCTCTGGGAGTGGTTTCCTTCCACCTTGCACCCAGTGTCAGAACGGAAGGCCATGTTGCATGGGGCTGTGGGAGTTGCTCTGGGTCACTTATCTTTCATTTTTATTACAACCTGGATAACAAAGTAGTATGCACGTTAAATCTGCAGTCAACAGGAAGCTGGACAGATGTGGAAGATAAGATAGCATTAGAATTCAAAATAGTCTTGGCAACTTGCAGAAATGGTTGCAGCAGGGAGGAGATGGTGGGGAAAGGAAAGATCCTTTTTATCAAAGGATAAAAATAAATTTAGGTAGGGGAAAACAAATGTACAAATTCAGAGTGGTGCCAACTAGTGAGCACTGTTTCAGATAAAGGCTCTGGCAGCTTGTCCTGCTGGTGGTAGAAAAGCTTCAGTCTGGGGTTCACAAATGGTTTGGTGAGGCTGAAGGTAATCCCGTGCTTCACAGGAGAACCTGTAAATATGAAACTTGAGACACTGTACAGGACAGGAGAGTGCAATAGGCAGGGATATGACTGATACCTTGAATATGTGGGAAAAGGTACTTGTGAGGATGGACTGGAAGAACTGAGCTTGAAACCATGTGGTAGATGGGGCTTAAATTGTAGCTAGAATGAGTGATAGTTTCTTCTAAGGCCAAGTACCAAAAAAAATTAGGATAGGGAGTCACTATACAGATGCGTGGGGAGCTGGTAGTAGCTGTTCCACAAACGGAGATCTGTTAAGAGCAAGCATCTCTCAGGAGCAATAGCTGCTTTTCAGCTTGCTTTGGGGCAGGGGAGAAGGCTGGCTGACTTTCCACAGTCCTTTCCTGTCCCATTTTCCTCTGGATCTGTGCACCTTGCATCTATGGGCAAGCCTAAATGTTTCAAGGTAGATAATTGTTGGAGGAAGAGGAGCTGAGGTGGCGAGGAGAGCACTCTAGAGCAGAGGTAGGAGCTTCCAGTGCAGGGTTCAACTGTGATCTGTAGCTCCTGCTCAGAGCTGACATTTCTTAGAATAAGGCCCCTATGGTGTAAGTTTGGGCTAAATCGTGTCTCAGAAAAACATAAATATGTATTTGTCTGTATCCAGGTCCGTTCTGGGGCGGGTGGTGCTTAGTGAATTTACCTTTATTTTCAAATCACAGATAAAGATGCTGCTCACCCCTTGGTGTAAAGCTGGCCTCTGCAGTACCTCTGCAAACACACATTTGTTGGAAAGCTCTTGGTGGTTGGCAGATGCCAGGATAATTTTTTCTAAATCTGTTCACTGTGTTTATTTTGCAAACTACACATTGTTTGTTTTTAAAAGTACCAGAGTATAGATCTGTGTGCTTGCACAGTGGGCTCTCACAGCAGGGCTCATCCTCTCATTAGGAATGATCCAGTGCTGCTCAGCAGATAACCTGGGATGTTTCCTTTGAGGTCTTGTCATTGAAAGAGGTGACACAGCCGTGCTGGTGGCACATGTTGCATGTGCTCACCCTGCAAAGGACCCGATCCAGGAGCTGCCACTTCCACCACACCTCTGTACCTTTTCATCAGCTTTTTAAAGGGATGAGCATCAAACAGTCAGGATCTGGGGCCCTGCTGCTGTGGCTGCTTGTCCTTGGGCCCCTTGGTGGAGCTTGTTAGTTGTTTAATGGACACAAAATGCATTTTTACTGGAGCGTTGCTGCCATATGCTGAGCAGCCCATTCTGGTGTGTTTTCAAAGTGAGTTTTGACATCAGTTGTTTTGGAGTTTGTGTGTAATTAACATCATCCAAGTTACTGCTCCCACCACCATCTGGTCATCACAATACTCACTGGCATGCTGAAGTGCTGGGTATTTACTAGGGGAAAATGAGGCTGCTTTCACTATCTGCAGCTTCTTGGACCCATCAGCAGTACTACTTTTATGGTTTTTTGCTATCGTAAAGTGCTTTTGAGATCTATTCTGTGAGTGATCTGAGCCAGAGAAATATGGCATGAACTCTATGGAAACAAGTTTAAAACTTCCTTAGAGCAGCATTTCACTTCTTAAACTCTTTAAAAGCCAAACCATAAGTTTAAATGTTTCATGATGCCTCAGTTTGGACAAAGAGCTGCGGTCTCCTGATTCAGGTAAGCTTGTCTGATGTGAGCAGTGATGTGAATTGGAAGTGAGGGCTATTCTGTAGAGTACTCAGAACTTGTGTCCCACTTTTCAAAACAGACTTGGCTGAAGTCCTCCCTGCAGCAGCGTGGAGTGGGGATGTATTCCCAGAGCTCTCAGCTATGGACTGGGGTGATTTTCAGCTGACTTTTTATTTCTTTGTTCCTCCTTGCTTCATCTTACGGCTACTCTGCATCAGGTGGGGCTTTGAGACACTGTCTGAACAGGATTCTGGAAGTGTCAGACCTGTGGTTCATGACAAGGTAGCTACAGCAAGGGGAAGGTCAGTGCTGTAGCCCTTGCTTGTGATGTGTGTGGTAGCAGTGGGGTTGCTCGTCAAAATACGGGGCTGCTCACATCTCAGGGAAGCAGACATCCCTCAAAATTCATTCTCATGTAAACCCCAGGCAGAAGAAGAGGGAGATTTTAGAAAAGAGAGGCAGAGGGTGGCCCTGTACTGTCTGCGGCTTTTGCTTTTTTTGCAGCTAATGAGGTTTCAGTCCAGCATTCAACAACCTGATTTTTCTGTGTGACCCTGCATCATCCTCCCAGCGGCTCTTCCCATGCACTGAATGGGATGTGTTCCTGTAGAAGATGGAGCATGTCCTTGCATGAATGGAGGATCTTGCATAATGCAGAAAGGTTCATGAGAGTGAGTTGTGAGTCTGCGGGCAGCCTTGCATCTGCT